AATGATTTTTAGGAGTAATTAAATTAAAATCAGTTTATGGTTTTGAAAACAATTCCAGATACTTAAAAAGCATTAATAGTTGAACAATTTGGATTTCTTATCTCTAAGTTATTAGGATGGAGAATAGCTTTACATTTGATATAACATTATAACTATGAACAGATCTATTAGGATAATAAAGAAAAAATTTTCCAGTGGCTTCCTAATGTATATACCAGGGGTGCCAAAAAAAATGTATACAAATGACTAGTATTCATCTTTTATCGGTTTATATTGAGTATTACAATTTTAATAAAATTTTTTCCTTTCTGAAAATGTGTCTACATGTTTTTGGCACCCTCTGTAGAATAAAATCTCAACATCTTACAAAACTCTAAGGCTCTCCAAGGTCTGGTCTCTTCCTTCTTCAAATTCTTCTTCTTCTACTCTCCATCTCTCAAACTCAGCTAAACACGCTTTCATTCTGCAACTCAAACTCATCTATGTCTTCACAATCGCTCTAATTTTCTTGTGGTAGCCTCCTCTCTGTCATTCAGATCTCAGTTCCAATGTCAATTCCTCCAAGAGACCCTTCCTGAGACCCTATTTAATGCTGCCATCACAACTACCCATAATTTTCTATTACATTATGTGCTTTATTTTCTTCATAGGACTTATCATTATTTCTAACTACTCTGCTTGTTTCCTCGTTTATTGCCTGCCTCCCTTCCTAGAACATATGCTCTCTGAGAGCAGGAATCTTCTCTCTCGTTGGCCACTATGCTCCTATTATGTGGCAAGAGATTCAATAAATACTCGTTACATAAATGAAGAAACATAAACCATGAGCCAGTGTCATTATACAAGATACCCAGTGGAATTCTCCTGTTATTTCTAATATCAGTATTTGGCACATATAAATTGTCAGGAATGATCTATTATCACTCATTATATGTATCCTTTAGCTGTATTTAGAATTAATACTTTTTTTTCTCCTTCAGGTATAACAATACTCTGAGAAAACTCTAGGACTTAAACCGAGATTTCTTTT